GGAACCAGTCAGCCACTTGATCATGAGTATAAACACATATTCTACAGTATATTGTGCACTATGTTGCATACTCTGTCCTTTTTTAAAAAGACTTATTTATTTGAAAATCAGAGTTAAACAGAGAGGAGAGGCAGAGAGAGAGAGAGAGAGGTCTTCCACCTGATGGTTCACAATTTGCCACAATGGCTGGAGCTGCACCAATCCAAAGCCAGGAGCCTCCTCTGGGTCTTCCATGCAGGTACAGGGGCCCAAAGACTTGGGCCTTCCTCCACTGCTTTCCCAGGCCATAGCAGAGAGCTGGATTGGAAGTGGAGTAGTGAGGACTTGAACCAGCGGCCATGTGGGATGCCGGCACTGCAGGCGGCAGCTTTACCTGATATACCACAGGGCCGGTTCCTAAATACATCTTTAAACAAACAAAAAATAGTGTACAAAACAAAGACATTTTTGATCTTATGGAGCTTCCATTTTAGTGAGGAAGTCAGACAAAAAAATTCAACCAACAAATAAAATGCTTACAAGTTAGGGTAAGTGTTATGAAGGAAACAGTGGCTGAGTTAGAGATTAACCAGGGCAGATAGCTACTTTAGTCAGCATGATGGTAAGGAGACCTTTAGCCTGAGAAATGAAGAATTGAGGAAGCATTTTGGTTCCATGAGGCATGATAGATCTGGATGAGTTGGGGAAGCTGAGTAAGACCAATGTGACGGGCAATAATAAAGGAGGGGGAACAAGTGACAAAATAGGAAGTTGAAAAAACAGGTATAAAGTAGATCCTGTTAAGGTAGGAGGTTTCGGGTATTTTTTTTTAAAGATTAATTTACTTACTTGAAATAAATAAGGTCAACCGACTGAGAGAGAGAGAGAGAGGGAAGGAGGGAGGGACAGAGAGAAAAGAAATATCTTCCATCTGCTGGTTCACTCCTCAAATGTTGCCAACAGCTGGGGTTGGGGTCAGGGTGGAGCCAGGAGCCAGGAACTCCATCCTGGTCTCTCACATGGGGGGCAGGAGCCCATGTAGTTGGGCCTTCTGCTGCCTCCCGAGGCTCATCAGCAGGAAGCAGAGCGTCTGGGAGTCCAAACAGCAATTTGACACAGGATGCCAGTGTTTCAAGAGGTGGCTCAATCCGCTGCACCACAATGCTGGCCCCAGGAGTTTGGATTTTATTTTAAATTCCATCAGATAAGATCAGCTTACTCTTCCTTTGAGCACTGCTCCAACATTAACCACATTTAGTTTCATTTCCTTTTTTCCTCCATCTGCCTGAACAATGACATGTGTCTCGTGTTCCTGACAGCCAATTCTTCTGTGTGTACTCTTCCTGCTGTAGATACTCTATCTTTCCTCTTCTCACGCACTGTGCTGGTTTGGTTTTCTGCACCTATTCTGTCTTCATTCTCTTCCCAAGGATCAGTCTTGCCAACCGAACTGCAATATACTATCTTTTTTTTTTTTTGACAGGCAGAGTGGACAGTGAGAGAAAGAGACAGAGAGAAAGGTCTTCCTTTTTGCCGTTGGGTCACCCTCCAATGGCGCTGCGGCTGGCGCGCTGCGGCCGGCGCACGGCGCTGATCCGACGGCAGGAGCCAGGAGCCAGGTGCTTTTCCTGGTCTCCCATGGGGTGCAGGGCCCAAGCACTTGGGCCATCCTCCACTGCACTCCCGGGCCACAGCAGAGAGCTGGCCTGGAAGAGGGGCAGCTGGAACAGAATCCGGTGCCCCGCCCGGGACTAGAATCCGGTGAGCTGGCGCCACAAGGTGGAGGATTAGCCTAGTGAGCCGCGGTGCCAGACCTACAAAATACTATCTTAAAACACCTACTTAGCAAAGCCATCTTACAGAAGTGGAGCAGAAACACTTTACGTGACAAGCAAAAAGTGAACAATTACTCATCACAGACCAATCCTACGAGAAACAGTTAAGGGAATCTTACGTCCAAGCCAAAAGATAACCACCATGATGAAAACACATGGGGGCCGGCGCTGTGGCTCACTAGGCTAATCCACTGCCTGCGGCACCAGCACACCGGATTCTAGTCCCGGGAGGGGCGCCGGATTCTGTCCCGGTTGCCCTTCTTCCAGGCCAGCTCTCTGCTGTGGCCAGGGAGTGCAGTGGAGGATGGCCCAAGTGCTTGGGCCCTGCACCCCATGGGAGACCAGGAGGAAGCACCTGGCTCCTGCCTTCAGGTCGGCGCTGCGCGCCCGCGCCGGACATAGCAGCCACTTGGGGGGGTGAACCAATGTAGAAAGGAAGATCTTTCTGTCTCTCTCTCACTAACTCTGCCTGTGGAAAAAAAAAGATATGCTAATTACTCTAATTTGATCATCACACAATATATACATGCATCAAAATGTCACGTTTTACTGTATAAATACATATTATTACAGGTGTAAGATTACTCCTAAAAGCTCATGGGAGAGGGCAAGTGTTTGGTGCAGCAGTTAAAATGCAGCTTGGAATCCTCACCCCGTGGGAGGCAGCAGGTGGTGGCTCAAGTTGTTGGGTTCCTGTCACCTGTGTGGCAGACCTGGCTTGAGTTCCTAGCTCCTGGCTTTGGCCTGGCCCAGCTCTGGCTGGCAAATAGGAGATCTCTATCTGTTCCCCTGCCTTTGACATAAAGAAATATAAATGTTTTCTCTCATATATGAAAGGGAATATATACAGAGTACAAAAAATGTGTAGAAGTCATAGTATTTGGCATTGTTATACTGAATTATATAATTTACACGATACATGCTTTTTTCTCCACTTCATGATCATAGTCTTGAATCCCATGTTATATACTATTAATATCCCTGTTTTCAGGAAAAACAGTATGTGTGTATATATAGTATCTACATATGAAGTGACTATGGCACAATGTTAAAAACTGTAAAATCTTACAAAAGTACTTAATTGGGGCTGGCACCATGGTGTAGTAGGTTAAGCCTCTGCCTGTGGCACAGGCACCCCATATTGGTGCCAGTTCATGTCCTGGTTACTCCTTTTCCAATCCAGCTCCCTGCTTACAGCTTGAGAAAGCAGTAAAAGATGGCCTAAATGCTTAGGCCCCTGCACCTGTATGGGAGACCTGGAGGAACTCCTGGCTTCAGATCAGTCCAGCTGTGGCCATTGAGGCCATTTGGGGAGTGATCAGTGGGTGGAAGATCTTTCTCTCTGCCTCTCCCTCTTTCTGTAACTCTACCTCTCAAATAAACATTAAAAAATACATAATTAAAAAAGAATTAGATTAAAAGATAGGTGCATTCCCATGAACATTCTGATGACACCTTGTATGTATCAATCAAACGTAAGCTGAAACTTAAAACCACCTAATCTGATACTGTGTCTCCTGATAGTTTGATGTATTTCTGTCTCTTAGTGTTTCTTTGATAGTCCCAGTGGCGTAAAAATAATTTGTTTGCTGCGACTCCCAAACAAGATGGCTCCATGGCCCTAGTCTCATATATTCAATTGCCGATGTCAATGACTCTATTTGAATGTTAAGCACCACCCACCTACCCAACTGCCCTCATCACTGGGTTGGTTATCTGTCAGTTTTCCCTCTATCAGTAAACGATTCCTTCAACCACTTTAGGCCCCCAAAGCAGGAGATGTACTGAATCACTCTTCAACTGACAATTTCTTCAATTTTTTTAAAAAAAGATTTACTGATTTATTTGAAAGGCAGAGTTACAGAAAGGTAGAGGCAGAGAGAGAGAGGTCTTCCATCCGCTGGTTCACTCCCCAGATGGCCACAACGATTGGAGCTGCACTGACTGCGGATGCAAAGCCAGGAGCCAGGAGCTTCCTCCAGGCCTCCCACGCAGCTGCAGGGGCCCAAGGACTTGGGCCATCTCCACTTCTTCCCCAGGCCAAAGCAGAGAGTTGGATCGTAGTGTTGCAGCCAGGACTCGAACCGGCGCCCATATGGGAGGCCGGCACTGCAGGCAGTGGCTTTACCCGCTACGCCACAGCGCTGGCTCCACGATCTAGATCTTTCTATGGCAATAGTTTCACCTTATCTACGTTCATTTTTGTTCAAATTTCTTCCAACGTCCTGAAAATTCACTTTGCAGGCCGTCTGTTCAAACTCGGATCCAATCAAGGCTGTTATAGCCCTTAAATTTCTTTTACAAGGCAGGTGCATTTTCACCACGAGGAACCGCTGCACTGCTGGCCCAGTTGCTCTGCGGAAGGTCCCGTCTGCTGGATTTGCTTCAGTAGTTACTTCGTGTCTCTGTCTTCTGTTTCTTACACGTTACGCTGGCTGCAAAGGCTTGATAGGTCCACAGGAACTACTTCGGCCTGGTAGGGCAGTGTCCTCAGTGATACTATAAATAAAAACCTATCGACTACAAAATACAAAGCATCAGACGTCCCGTAGGGTGGTCTTCCTAACACGTGGGTTTACAGCTTCCCGTGTGTTCATCAGACACGCACACATCCCCGGCTTGGGATGTGCGGGTGCCTGGCGGTCTGCTCGCCCCTCCGTCCCTCCTCTTTCGGGGCGGGGAGGCTCTCCCTAGCCACCCCACGCTAAACTCGCCTTCTTGGGGAAATCCTTAAGGACCCTGTTTCAGTGAGACACCCCCGCCCGCACCCCTCGGTGACCCAAGTCCTAAATCCCAAGCACCCTGTTTATTTCTCCTCCTGCGTTTCCTCCTTTTGTGGACCTCAGCGTCTGCGCCCTTACCGGTCCCGCGGCCGCACAACGCCGCGGCCCTCGCCCACCACTGTGCACCAACAGTCGCTCAGTGAACTCGCCCAGCTCACGGTGACCCTTGGCCTGCCAGGTCTCGGGCGGGAGTCATAACGGGAGGACCTCACCCGCAAGCTGTACAGGGCAGAGGAGTGGCCATTGCGAGAAAGGGGAACCGACAGCGGCAAACTCCGGACACCCCGGAAGCCAGGAAGCTGCCGCGAGCGGCGCCCAGGTGAGCGGCGCCGCGGCGCCACGTCCACGTGACCACACGGCCCCGCCCACCCCAACCCCGCCTCCCGCGCCCACTGCGCCTGCGCCGGAGCTCCCGGAAGTAGCCAGACCCCGAAGCGCAGGCCGAGCGCGCGTCCGTCAGCCCGTCGGTCCGCCGGTCCCGCCGTCCGTGAGGCTCGAACGGCGGCAGAGGCGCCCATCATGGCGACGTTCATCTCGGTGCAGCTGAAGAAGACGTCGGAGGTGGACCTGGCCAAGCCGCTGGTGAAGTTCATCCAGCAGACCTACCCGAGCGGCGGGGAGGAGCAGGCCCAGTACTGCCGCGCGGCCGAGGAGCTCAGCAAACTGCGCCGCGCCGCGCTCGGCCGCCCGCTGGACAAGCACGAGGGCGCGCTCGAGACGCTGCTGAGGTGGGCGCGGGGCCGGCAGCCGGGACGGGGTCCGCGGCCGGGGCCGAGGCCGAGCGGCCGGCCCCGCCCTGGCCTGGCCGGGCCGGGCCGGGCCGGGCGCGTAGGTGTGGCCCGCATTCCTGCCTGGTGAGCCGCAGCGGCCGCAGGCCGGGGCCCTGCCCTGCCCTGCCCGGCCGCCGCTGGACACCTGGCGCTGCCGACTCGGGGCTACTTTTCCCTTTCGGGGAGGGGTCTGCGGTGGCAGACTGCTGTGTGAGGACTTTCGGGGGTCGGATCTGGAGGGCGCCGCGGCAGCTGCCCGCGCGCGGGCCGTGGGGGAGTGGGGACCCCCGGCCCAGTGTCCGTTCGACACGGAGGGGCCGCCCCCTCAGCGCGGAGTGAGCCCACGAGGTCTCTGGAAGTCGGGAGCTGCAGTTATTTGCAGTGAAGCCCGCATGACAGAGTGTCCGAAGTGGGTTGCTTGCAGTCTGGCTCCCAGGCGGGTATGCGTAGAATGCAGGGAATCTGTTGTTTTAGTACACGCGCCTGGAGCTCGCTCCGTGTCTGATGAGGCCAGAAGAAGCCCTAGAGCGCTTTGTGGGCAACATTTCTTCTGCCCGCCTTCTTTAATGGCCTCGTTTCTGTGTGTCATAGAGTCTTGCTTGGGGAAGCAGGGCTATAGCAGGTGTATACCGGATTAAAACTAGCTTATGCTGATACAAGACTGACCCTGGTAGCTGCAACGTCGAGGGATTCTCTCTCCTTAGCTGTTGGCATCTCACCTCCGTGGTTCCTTCTAGGGCAGGCTTTGGGCATGTGTGGAGAGGGGTGGCCAGTGGCGGCTCTATGGTAGTTACAGTGGTTCCTAGTATGTTACGGAAGAGGCCGCCTTTAGTCCTTAGCACTGGGGAGGAAGCCACGGGCGGCCTCTGATTGGGCTGACTGGTGATGGTGGGAAATGGGCTGATCTATTGGGTCACCCAGCTGACAGCAACGTTTCTCTTCCCGATGGCTCAAAGCAAGGTTGGTTTGGACTGCGGAAGCTTTGGTTGCCAAGAGGAAGGGATACTGAATAGATGGCTCGGGGAAATTATGACCCGTTGGTGTTAATTTAGAGCTAAGACTTTCGGCCTGCAAGGATCATGATTCTGGTGCTTCGCAAAGGAGTTCTTTTTAAACATTTTTGTTTATTTGGGAGGCAGAGAGAGAGAGAGAGAGAGAGAGAGAGAGAGAGATACAGGCACAGCTGCACGCCCCAGGTGCCCACAACGACTCAGGCTGGGCCAGGCGGAAGCTCAGAGCTAGGAACTCAGTTTGGGTCTCCTGCATGGGTGGCAGTGACCCAAGGACTTGAGCTGCCTCTCGGGTGCGTATTAGCAGGAAGCTGGCATTGGGAGTGGAGCGGGGACTAGATCCCAGGCAATCGGTTATGGGATGCCGGAGACCCGCTAGATCAAGCATCTGCCCCTAGCGTTGGCATAGCCGTTCTTTAGAATCAACTTACTTTTAAAGAATTGTCAGAGCGATTTTTGTGCAGACGTGAGTAGTCCTTAGGCTTTTCCTTTAGTAGTGTTTTTAAAAAATACAGTTGTGGTATCATGAACGCTATGATAAAAATCTTGTTGAATGGGTTTGGGTCTTTAGATTTAAGGAGCAGAGACAGTTCCTGCAGGGGTTTCAGACTAGCAGGCAAGGAATAGTGGTTAGTGGCCAGATAGAATTCTGCTGTAAGCTTTGGAACTCCGTTGATTCATTGTCGTTTCTCTGACCTGGGTAAGTGTGTGAACTGTTGTCCTGTGGTGCAGCAATTGCAGAGGGGGTCGTTTCTTAAATCATCTCACTTTTGGCTTTTTTAGTGGAATTGGGGTAAGCTCATGGGTATGCTGCAGCCTACTAAATGTTACAGTGGAGGTGCGTACGAAAGTTCTTGGATAAATACACTGTGAAAGAAGAGTTATGACTCAGCTGTAGGTGTCATTCAAAGCAAACAGAACGTCTTTCCGTAATTATGTTTGGCTAATTGTGTAAACCAAACATTAATTTTCCTTTATTTTTTTTAAACCTGATGAAGTTTTAAACTAATGGACTTTGAAAAAAGAGAGTTTAAACCAGTTTCTAAAGAGTATGATGCTGGCTTGCTAATTCCCTCATGTACAAGTCCAGTGCTAGTCTTTTTATTACCAAATTGCTAGTGTTCTATTAAAATTTCCTAAAATACACATTTACACTTCCATACTCATTGTCATGGTATTTCACCCTTTCCAAAGTGGCTCCTACTAAAAATTGGTGAATGGAGAACTTGAGGGTGATCGAGTGGGAGCTGTGCCGGTGTCTGCTTTCTGGGGGTCAGTTTCCTCGAGAGTTTGCTCTCCTTCCTTGAGAACGTGTGATTGTCGGCTCTCTGAAGTTTGATCTGGGGAGAGAGGCTTGACGAATCTCAAGAGTTGTGCATGTGGGGTTTTTAACGTGGCATCTGTAAATAGGATTAGATTCCACTCTGTTTAGTAGATCCCAATCCCAAATTATCATTGAGTTAACATTTTATTCTTGCTTCAAAGTTGGTGGGGGTGGGGACCACATTGTGGCATAGCAGGTAAAGGTGCCACTTGCGATGCCAGTGTCCCATTTGGATGCCAGTTCTTGTTCTAGCTGCTCCACTTCCCATCCAGCTCCCTGCTAATGGCTTGGGAAAAGCAGTGGAGGATGGCTGAAGTGCTTTGGGTGCTGCTGCCCATGTGGGAAACTTGCAAGAAGCTACTGCCTCCTGACTTTGGCCTTGCCCAGCCCTGGCCATTGGCAGCCATCTGGGAAGTGACCCAGCGAATGGAAGATCTCTGTCTATCTGTGTCTACCTTCCTCTGACTCTGACTTTCAAATAAATAAAAAAATCTTAAAAAAAAATTGGTGGGTAGATAGTTCTGGTAGCCTAGGACTGGTGTGTGAAGTTCACTGGATGCTTAGACTCTTTCCAGCTGTTGCTGTGTGAACCCTAGAGTACAGTCCTTGTTCACATGGTCCAGATTGAAGTCACACCCAAGTGTGTGAAGTAACGGCGGGGGGTGGAGGTGGGGGGGATGACAGCGCAAGGCTCAGCCTCAGGTTGTTTTCTGGAATTGCCCCACAGTGCTGCGCTCTTGTGTCACAGCCCACTTTGTATGTCCACTTCTCCAGAAGGATGCTAAGAGAAGTAGTTTTTTTTTGTGGGCAGCCACGTACCACCTAAAACTCTTACGGAAGAAGGGAGGACTGACAGGGATGTAGGCAGTCGGTTCTCCCAACCCCAGCCCCTCCATCCCACTCTTCCCGCTTGGCAGTCTTTGATCTCCACTTTGATTGAGCATGGTGTTCCTAACAGTTTGCTGAGTGAATCTGCCCTCAGAGTAGATCTGGTAGCCTGAAGGTTTCCTTCAAGGATTCTCAACAGTGTCTTGTCTTTTTGGCTTCTACTTTGTTGGCTCCCTTCCCTCTTAAGTAGCTAGAGTCCAGCTTTCTTCATTCCCTTTTCACCTTTAAGGACATTTTGTTGAAGCCTGTTGTATGCTGTTAGACCTTTTCCCTTCTCTTTGACCTTGTGCCTTTACATCTTTTACATTAGAAATCATGTGAGAGAGTGAGAAAGTGAGAGTGAGAGAAACAGGCAGACAGACAGAGAAAGCTCACGTTTACTGATTCACTCCCCAAATGCCCTTGATGGCTGGGGCCAAAGTCAGGAGCCGGGGCCGTAATTCAGGTCTCCCGTGTAAGTGGCAGGAACCCAACTGAGCCATCTCGACTGCCTCTGCCTCTCCAGTTCTGTATCGGGAAGCTGGAGTCAGCTGGAGCTGGGCATCAAACCCAGTGTGGGACACCGTGTCAGAGCCTGCCTCCTCGAGGCCAGGTGCCCATGCTTATCTTTCACACGTAACATTCTTTTTTTTTTTTTTTTTTTAAAGTGGGGTTTTGGGTGGGAGCAGTGAGGGTGTTATTCAGATCTCTAACCGGAAGAGGAGGGTATGTGTGTTTTCAGTTCTCCACTGTGGCTGTGTTAATTTACATGTTCATCAGCAGAAATCTGAGTTTTTTATTCCTTCACATTCTTGCTAATTCTCACTGATAATTTATATTACTACTCTGCTAAACTGATAGGTACCTTGTTTTGGTTTGCATGCCTTATTTTGCTTAGGCTGAACATTTTATGTTTACAGGTCACTTAGCAATTCTATGAATTGCCTGTCTTCTTTTGCCCATTTCCTTTTTAAAAATTTAAACATCCTTTTAAAGAGATTGTATATGGGAAAGGCAGTGACAGAGGGAGAAACACACACACACACACATACACACACAGATCTTTGATCTGCTGATTCACTCCCAAAATAGCTGCACCAGCCAGGGCTGGGGTAGGCTGGAGCCAGGAGCTCCATCCCAGTCTCCCATGCGAGTGGCAGAGACTCAGGTATTTAAGCTACTGTTTACTGCTTCACAGGCACGTTAGCAGAGAGCTGGATCTGAAGCAGAGTAGCTGGGACTCAAACCAGCACTCCTGAGCTGTGGCTTAACCTCCGTGTGACAATGCCTGCACCAAAAAATGTTTTTCAAAAATTTATTTGAAAGGCAGTTCTCTCCCTAAATGATTGTAGCAGCTGTGGTTGGGCCAAGCCAACCAGGAGCCTGGAACTCAATCCATGTTTCCCGTGGTGGGGACCCAAGTACTTGAGCCATCACCAGCTACCTCCCAGGGTGCACGTTAGCAGGAAGCTAGAATTGGAAGTGGAGCTAGGACTGGAACCTAGGCATTCTGATATGGGATGGCAGTGTTGTGATAGACCCTGCCCCTCTTGCTCATTTTCTGCTGTGGGTGATTGATTTTTTTCTTTACTGATTTGTAGGAGTTATTCTGTATCCAGTATGTACATGGTAAAAATCTTCTAATATATTTCTTGAATCTTACCTGTATTTGTGGTGTCTTCTATCACATATAAGTTCTTAGAACATGTTTTGTTTTCTTCATAATGTGTAGTTAGAATTTTCCTCTTATTCCTGAT